CAGGAGAAGAAAATCTGCTAATTATGTCAGAAGTAAAGACAAATAACTAATCCTTTTTTACATCTTATAATTTTGAAATTTGTGCTTATTGTATTAATGTTATAGAAACAATTTATAGAAATAAAAAAAAGTATTTTTAGGAACAGCAAGTCCATTTCTGAATTTTCAGTCTGAGGTTATTGCTGGCTGTTTGTTTATTTATTTAAAGTTTCTTGGAAAATATTTCTGAGAGAACAAAGTTTTCTTGAGTCTAGTAGTATGCCTGCCTGCTGCTTCTGAGTAGCACGTTAGACCTGTGTATGCCAGCAAAGAAGGAAGATAAAAGAAGATTAGGGATTAATGGCAGCTGTTTTAGCCAGTCTGCTCAGAACAGTGACTTGTTCCTTCTGAGCCAGAATGCTTGCTCATTACAAATACCAGACTGTGAATATTCCCTCATTATAATACAGCCTGATATTGTGGTACACACAAACAAAAAAACACCAAACGAAAAATGACCAAAACCCTTTCTAAGTGCATCTCTGTAAATACAGGGGGAAATGAGAAGTCAGGGCAGGGGAGGTGTTTTGCTTTGTTGTGTCTTTTCAGTTTTTTTTTTTTTTTCTCGGAGCATGACTTCTCTGAAAAATTAACTCCTTGAGCCATAGTACAAGATTAATTTTGTTTGCAAAAAGGAAAACTGCCTAGTTTCCACCAAACTCTACATTTCTTGACCTGCTGTCTGTCCCTTGCCCAAGAATTTTTGGAGATTTTTGGGTGGTAGGGGTATGAGTGCCCATTTGCGACTTTGCCACCTCTTGATTTTTTTTTTTAGCTAAAATTACAGATTAATTCAGATTTTTTCCCTCTTCATCTCCCTTTTTAGCTTTTCCAACATTTGGAACTATTTCCCTCTTATGTATATTTACTTTCTGTTTCTGAGCTGGTAGGTTTTCTTCTTTCTTCCTTCCGTGCTTCTCCAACTTTTCATTCCTTTTATTTCCTTCACCGTTTATTCCCCTGAACTGCTTTCTGTCTTTCTGATCCCTTTCAGTAAATTTTAGCTATCCAGCAAATCAAAACCAACTGCAAATATGCTTCCATCCACAGAGCAGCTGTTGTAAAGAAACATAACTTCACTTGAAGGAATTGATAGAAACACTGCCAACCACCCAAGCTAAACTGACATCTGCGATGGTGGTCGGATGGACTTTTCACCAGAGCAAAAAGAAAGTGTCCTGCCATTTGGATTATTAATGTACTATTCTTTACTAATTTAGAACTGCTGGATAAAAATTTATGCTGTCTGAGAGGGGTACAGAAAGAAAAACTATGTTTCAGAGCCTGCAGGACCCATGTGCCAAGCACATGGCCAATTTTTACCTCCTTGTATTAATCTAGTCTTTTTCCTCAAAATCTAATAACACTTGGCATGACATCAACCCTTGCTTTAGTGGTAATAAAACCAAGAAAGCAGTAACTATGGTAGTATTTTTAGGAAAACACCAAAAATGGAGGGCTCTTTTTTTATGAACCTCAGGAGGTTTTTATGAAATTTTCTTTTACAAGAGAAAACCAGTTCTGGCTTTGTTTCATTTATGGAGCTGATGGTATGAGACATCCCTTGAAGGCTTCCCTCTTTGGCCAGGAAAAGGCTGATGGACTGGGCACTGAAACATTTAGGGGCCTTATTAATTACAACATCTTGCTGGAGTACTCCATTTATCGTAACTGCAGATCTAGTTTCATACTGGCCTGTTTTTAAGATATGGTTTGTTGTCATTTGCAGTGTTCTCTGTTTCTCTGAAAAATGCAAATGTAAAATATTTAATATAAAATATTTAATGTGAATGCTTAATTTTTCCAGCAGTTGCCCCTGCATATATATTCTTCCTGAAAACTGCAAAATGGGAAGATTTTACAGCTTCTGATGCATACGCAAGTAATCTAAGGAATTTGTGGTTTAGTTAGAAAATAGAGGTATTATGTGTATATTTGAAACACACTTCAAAGAATAAAGTTCTTCTGCTTATAATTTTTAAAGTAGAAGTACTAAATCCTCAACGTAAAGAATGCATTCCTTAGACTACACTTTATTATAATCTCTTAAAAATGACAGAAAAATGTATTACTTTAAAAATTGAACTGCCTCCTGCTCTAGCCTTTTCCCAGTTCTGAAATAAGGAATGGGTGAAGTTGCAAGGGGATAAACAAGTGTTGAACCTTGTATTAATATTGTGTATAGTACGAGTTCCTCAGCTATCTGCTTTTCACTGAAATTAAGCAGCCCAAGGTTGGGAACCTGCTGTTGGAAGTGCACCTACAGAATGAGATGTCTGTTTGGAAAGGGGGAAAAAAATTCTCTAGGAGTATGAATGGGTATCTTTGTGTGTTAAAAGATGGGGACAAAGGATGTTGAGACATTTATCTTTTAGGATGCAGAGTTCTGTGATATTCCCAGTAGTAAGAAATTATGTGAGTCTACTTTGAGCCTACTTTAAGCCTACAGTGTTTGGGTTCTGGTTTGGGGATCATTTTGTTTAATGCAGGAGTTCACAAAGAGCCAGGTATTGAGTTCAGTTGGATGTGATATACATACCTCTGAAAAGTGATGTGTACCTGTAGCTCTCTTGGTCTCTGATCTTTTCTGGTGATGATGAAAGTAAAAGGTATTTTCTAGCGATTCATAGCGGCTGCTTTGTATCATCAGTTCCAGCAGTCAGTCATCAGATCCTGTGGTCACACTGTGCTGAGCTGGCCAACGCTATAGGTTAACATATGCAATACGCTTTTGTTTCCCCACAGTGTTTCTCAACAAATTTTTTGCATGTACTGCACCTAACAATAACAGTTTTGTGTGTGTGTGTGTGTGTTAGTTTTCCAGCAACATTATGTTGTGACTAAATGGTTGGAGATAGTTGTATCATAGATTAGTCTTCCTGAAACCCTTCCTGCTCTAGTAGTAGGAGCAGGCATTTGTGAAAGAAATTATCTGTAGAATACCTGAAGAACAATTAATATGTCTTTGCTAAACAGCCATATATTATGGTATTTTTATCTATACATATATGTGTATTTTGTATGTATGCCTGCGGAGGCTGTATAGGTTTTCTGTGTGTGTAGGAGGGCTTTGTAGGGCAAATGGATGACAAAGATGTTGGTACTTGTGACTGGAAACAAGAGCAGAAGTGGTCCCATCACATCTGGTTTTAGCACTGTATAGATCTACATAGCAGTTCACCAGTAATTTCACGCCTGAGAACTAGCTTTTGACTGCATTTGTTGACTAGTAAGACATTGACTGGTTTATCATTAATTGATTTTTGAATTTTATTTTTTTTTTCTTGTTGTGAACCTTTTCATTGGTTTTGGTTTTAATGTAGCCTTAAGTCAGAGCTTCCCTTTGTTTCCAATCCTTCATTTCTAGGCTGATAAATCTTTGTTAATTTGGAGCACAGCATGTTCAGTCTTATTTGTAAGAAAATTGGGGGGCGGGGGGGGAAACCAAAACATTGACATCTGTCAAGAGATAAAAGTTGTGAAACAGTTACTAGGAAAGATGTCTAGTAGAAACATAATGATCATGCTGAAAAGCATTTTTTTCAGCAGAAATAATGTAATTCTTTGGGATGTTTCTAGGATTTAAAAAAAAAAAAGCCTTTCTATTTTCTATAATGGTGTAGACACCAAGAAGCACATGTGAATTATGCTTTCAGAGGTCTTTTTTCCAGCCTATGTACAGCAATACAGTGTAAGCCAAAGCAGCAGCCAAACGGATAAATAGTTTTCTGAAAATATTCCAGTTAATAAATAGGTTTAGGCTTCAGTTTGCAACTAAGGTGATTTTTCAGAAATCTCTTTTCTTCAATTTATTTTTTTTTCACAAACTTGCTGAATGACTTGCGGTTTTTGATCAAATACATGATTAATTGCAAGTTGTAACTACTTAAAACATCTCAAAATTATTCCAGGTTCGTAGGTTTTACCCAACTGTAACCTCACTAATTACTGGAATTACTTGCAATGTATAATCTAGGGTTGCTTCCATTTATCAGGAGAAGCCTATGGTGGACTTCGCCCTACACTTTTTAAGAGCCTGAGGCAAATCTCATAAAGATAATGTTAGTATCATTTCCAACATTAAAGCAAATGAGAATTATGTGGTGATTTTTTATTAGATGTCAATTGGGTACTAATAGAGGATTAGATCCTTTAATCCAAAAGTTTCGGTGCTTATTTTATCCAGTGCTGCGTTAGTTAGTTGATCTCATGTTGTCACCCTTCCGTGATGAAAGTACATAATTATAGAGCAAAATGTGATTATTTAAAAAAATTATTTTAAAAGGAAAATGTTAACATAATTTTTAACAACAAAAAAAAATGCTAGCAGTTTACAATTTTTAAAATAACTACTGTTTTTAATAAATTATTTTTTCTGAAATCAAAGAATAGAAGCTTAGTCACAATTTCCAAATGTTTTTGCACAATGTATCAATACATAATTCATGATATGGTATGTTCCTTATGTGATGCTACGTGTTGCCTGCATTTACTAGGAGATGCTGAATTTAGCTTGTGCTCATGTTTGACGTTGATGGGCACGTACTAGCACTATTAAAAAGAGTCGGTAATGCGAGACTACCATGTGAGACCCACCTAAAACCTCCCAGATATTTCTTTTCAGAGCTTAATCCCACTCCTGACAGAAATAAACTTTGCAGAAGTAATATTTGAGAGTTAATAGGTAGCTTAATTAGGTAGCTGGTCTGTTAAGACACAGGCTGTGATCCCTGACCTAGCCTCCAGCCTTTTGGAAGATGTGCCTGTCAGCTCTGGAATGTCTGGGAGAGTGGACCATTGTGGTTCATGTGATGCACCTCTGTCCCTCATATCTGCAGGTGAAAAAGCAGGCTGGCTCTGTTCTGAGGTGATACAAATACACTTAAGCAATGACCTTGGGGAATTCTAGTTGTGTTTTGCAAGCTAGATGTAGTTTTCAGGCTACTTTTTCTGTGACCCAGGGGGAAATAAGTTAAAGAGCCAGCCATTTCGACTGAACTGGGCTTGGATTTCACTGGAGAAGTAGAACTACGTTGTCAATGAGAACTCCAAATATCTGGAGGTGACCATCAGACGCAGAGGATATCTGCAAAAAACCTCTTTTATCAGTAAGTAAATCTTTAATGTTTGGAGCTTCTTGCAGCAGGAAAGGCAGCTGTTACGTTAAGGAGTGATACCATATCTTCTTGTTCCTCTGTTTACATAATAAATGCCAAATAATGAGAATAACAGTATAGATCTTTACTGCTCAGACTTGGTTACGCGTTTCATTTTTCACTGCTGACACCAAGAAATCCGAGTGAATATGTATATTAGTAGATATAAGAACGAATCTATATAATGAACTTCTGTTTGCCCAGTGTCTGTTTCCTGAAAGTCACTTGTCAGACAACAAAACAGAAATTGGGATACTATTTGTCAGGTGGATACATTTTGTAAATCATTAACTTTTATAAGAAAACAAATAAGTTCTTGAAGTAGCTGGTCTCTGCTTGTAGAACCAATTTGTGGAGAAGTTTATTAAACTCACTTTACAAGGGCAGCGTTATGCTGGCCTTTTGCTATGAGAAAATCCAAAAGCTACTAGAAATTCTCAAAGGGTTGTCTGCTAGCAGGGGTGACAGATGTAGAGCACACTAACATTATGAGTGTGCTATTATGGGATAGTAGAGTACCCAGTTGTGACAGTTCTGCAAAGTAGGAATCACAGAAATCTTTGCACCAATGGAGCGACTCAAGGAGCGCTGAGCAGAAAGGTATTTTTCTCCCTTTTTCTCCCTGATTTAAAAATAAGCAAAAGGAAAAAAGTTCCAGGTTTTTCATCATTTGAACCCATGCATGAAAATATTTGCTTTGTGCAACACAAATATATCTGACTGTCATCTGACAGTTAATTAAATCAGGCATTTAAAATCTAAACAGTTGTAGAATAGAACACTGGTGAGATTTTAGGAATGATTTAGGAATTAAATCATTTAGGAATGATTTCACACTCCTCAACCTTCAGAAGCTCTTTGCTAGCCATCAGATTCTCCCTCAAACACAGAGGCCGTTGACTTTAGAAGGATTAATCATTCTCAACTGGGGAGGTAAGGTGACTTGTAATTGCTGGTGTTGAACCTTAGTATAAAGATGCTCATATATTTGAATTAATGCTGGATTGAAACCCAAAGGCACTAATGAATTTCAAAACTCCATGGTGAGTTACAGATCTTCACTTCATTACATCCACAGTTGGATTCTGCCAGTATGTGTGCACCTTTGATTAAAACAAAGAAACCTAGCTGTAAAAATAAGCAGGCTTAAAAATGTGTAACAACTCTTTTTATTTTAAAAATTATTTTGAGTGCTGCCTTGAGAGATATTTTTATGTATGGTACAGTCTCAAAAAAAAAAAAAAAAAAAAAAAAAAAAAAAGAGTGCTTTTGCTGCATTAAGTAATAAAAGCTGAATGAATCCTGATGTCAGTTGTAGCAGCCTGCATTTGAGTTTCCAATAAGACATGTTCAGATTTCTGGATATTGTTTTTGCTCTTTCAGAACATTCATGGTTTGTCATCCTTTTCTTGAGCTACAGCAAAAAACTGTCTGATCTGAATAGCAAACCAAACTTTGAGTTAAATCTTCATTTGCTAGTTTACTTTGAACTAGATGAATACATCTCTAGCCCCAGCATCTGTATGTAATTACACTCTGTGTTTTTTGTTAGGATGGGAATGTGTAGTCTTTAAAACCTGTACAGTGAAAAGATTCTTCTTGCATAATACCCCAGAAGAGAGGATGGATATCTGACTGTATTGAAATTTAGAGTTACACAAGGAAGAAAAAATGGGGGTGGGAGAGAGCAACAAATTTGCATAGTGTGGTGGGCCCAGTAAATTCTGAGAACATTGTTCTGTCTCACTGCACTGGAATTCTATATCAAATGACCAGTTATTTACTCACTTAGCTAGCAGAGCATCTACAGAAGCAAGACTTGGATGGATGAAAAAGTCATTTAGTGTACAGGTGAAAGTGATAAAGGTACTTCACAGATCTTAAATGTGTGTAAGTATAGCACAGATACAGAGTAGTAACAAACTGTAATCACAAAGTATTAAACATATAATGATTAATTTCTCTTTGAAACAGATGAGCAGTGGGGTTGGTGTTTGGTGTTTGTTTGTTTGTTTTTTATGTGGGTGACTTCTTAATTGCCAAATACACTTCTTAACAGACTGATACATCTTTTCTGAAAGCATAACTAGAAAACTTGTTCCATGAATTTTTTTATAGATTGGAAAATTAGCCCTGTTGAACAGTCCTGTTCAGTCATATTTGATAAATAACCCCATGTCTCAGTAACTTTGATGGTTTTAAGTGCCCAGCAGGTGAAGTCAATGGAATTTTTCATGCAAATACAATTCTTAACACACACAAATGTTGGCAGGGTCCTACTCTAATTACCTATTTTTCATGAGCTATACAACAGTATAAGAGAAAGTATGATATAACCATCCTTACTTTTTTTCTGAAGTAACTGCCAGATTAGCATTTTTAAACTATTTTTTGTGGTTGTTTCTTTAATTTTATTAAAATTTTAAAATGAAGGGAGAATAATTCCTCCATATTTTTATGCAGGTATTGGAACCAAAGATGGTACAGCAGTAAAGGATAAAGACTTCAAGGGGAAACCTCAGAAACAGGTCCAGTTCAATCCAGGACAGGCTTCAGCTACCTGGCAAGTGAGGATATTTGCAGATAATGAATACGAGGCATCTGAAACATTCCAGATTGTTCTGTCTGATCCAGTTATGGCTGCTCTTGAGATTCCAGTAATAGCAACGGTTGAAATTGTGGATCCTGGTGATGGTATGTATCACTTCTTGTTCCCTGAGAATTTGTGATTAGGTGCAGTATTGTTCATTTGCAGGTCCTGTGAGTACCTGTTTCTGTCTCTGCTCTGTTGTGGTTCAGCCTTGTCTTAAAGCTTCACTTTGCTGAACAAGGAATTTGTATTTCTTATTAAATCTCTTCCCTGGCTAAATTCATACACTGTATGTAACGTCATACAGGTGTTCAGCCTTGGTGCTCCCCCTTCTCTCATTATGTTTTTCTTCAGTATCTACAGTGTATATTCCTCAGCCGGAATACAGAATAGAGGAAGATATAGGTGAATTGCTGATTCCTCTTAGAAGATCTGGAGATGTCAGTCAAGAGCTGATGGTCATTTGTTCTACACACCAAGGTATGTTATCTAGCTAAGTAACAGATTATTCAGCATAATATTCATGTTTAGGTAAGTAAGAGAACAAATTCAGTTGTTGTTACTCAGCAAGTACTGCCAGTGACTTCAGTAGCTGGAACAAGTGACTTTTGCAGGAAACTTATGTGTGTTTAGTTCTCTGCTTAGAAAGTGTTTTAAAGCCCAAACCATGAACTACAGAGAAGAGATACAGATTTAAAACTAAACCATTTCTGAAATCAAATGAGGTTTTGGGGTTTTGGTTAGTTTAGAACTCAGACACAAGGTTCGGATCACAAGCCTGTCTTCACTTGATATTCAGAGATGTGTGAATGTAAGTTTGTGGTGGTGCACTGACTTTCAGCACAGTGATAGTCACTCATACTATAGTTAATACAGACAGGTAATTGATAATATGATTCTTTTTTCAACTCATTTAAATCCTAGATTTTCCAAATACAGTTCTTGACTACAAAATAAGCCTGCTATAAACTGAAGAAGCAAGATGGCAGAGGAGAGAAAAATATTATATATTGTAAAAGTAGTAGATATTATAAAATATTTCAGGTAACTCAATGAAAACTAAAATATGCATTAAAAATAGGTTTAATAAAGATAAGGTAAAGGGCATTTATAAATGAAATCAAGCTTGAGATAGAGGTTAGCATTTATCCTAAGCAGTGAAATATGGAAATTTTGATTGAAAAAATGGTTTTCATATAGAAGTCTTCTGTCAGCTGGTCATAGCTTGAGATACTAGCATTCTGTGTGCTTCATGGTCAGGGAAGATGGGGGGAACATACTCAGTTCTGTGACTTGTTTAAACTTTTGGTTCAGAAAATCCTTTTAACCCCTCTTGTTTCTATTTTACCCTTACCTGTAAGAGTCATTCTGAGTGGTTGGCAGGAATCTTCAGAGTATAAGGCATTCAGAGGGCTTTTGTTCCTTTGTCAGTGATTTATAAGGGCTTAACAGAGTGTTCCCCTCTTGTGCATTGAGGCACAGAAGATCTTACTGAGTTATTTAAGGCTTTTTGTCCTTGTAGGCTAGCCATTTACCCAAATGCACAATTGCTGTAATTGTTCTCATGATCTGTGGTTTTCATAAACATGCTGCAGTAGAATAATTTTTTGCGAAGTTTTAAATGTGATAAGCATGGTAAATATGACATTGTCTCTCATTTACTCTTTCTCAACCTGCTTATTTTCTGACGCATTACTAACCCGGTAAAGGAATGTAATCAATGCATGTTGTATGTACTTATGACCTCTGAAAATCAGGCTACCTAATGTACTCGGAATTATGCGGGTTAGAAGGGAGCTTGAGAGGTCTTCAGTTAGATCTGCTCCTCAAAGCAGGGGAAGCTGTGAGGTGGGACAGGGTCGCTCAGGCTTCAGGTCCCCTGAAAATCCCTGGGGACTCAGGGCAGGCCGCTGAGGAATTAGTTGACTCATTTCTCTCATCTGGTTGAAGTATAACCCCACAAAAAGGTTGAGTCAAGATAACTGGTAATAATGGTGAATTGGGAGCAGGGATGGTTTCATGAGAGTGCTGGGTGACAATAAGAGCTCTCTGAGCCACTTTGCTACTGAAGAAGTTGTAATTATAAATAGGAGTAATTTCTTGTGTTTACAGTCCATTAAAGTGAGAAAGATTTCACAGCATCACAGAATCATCTAGGTTGGAAAAGACCTTGAAGATCATCCAGTCCAATCATTTACCTAACATTAACAGTTCCCAACTCCACCAGATCCCTCAGCGCTAAGTCAACCCAACTATTAAACCCCTCCAGGGGTGGGGACTCCACCACCTCCCTGGGCAGCCTGTTCCAACGACTAATCCCTTCTGGAAAGAAATGCTTCCTAAGGACCAGTCTAAACCTTCCCTGGTGCCACCTGAGGCCATTACCTCTTACCAAAGCACATTTATTAGTCAGTTCCAGCATAAAAGACTTTGTCTGTGTTTGTTTCATTTAAAGGCCTATTGTTTTTCCACTTCTTTAAAGTCCTGAGTCCCTGTAATTCATTTTTTTACCTTCTCTCCCCATAGGTTCTGCTACTGGCACAGTACCATCCATTGTCTTGTCTTATTCTGACTACATCTCACTTCCTGAAGATCATAGCAGCATCATTCATTTTAATAAGGATGAGACTGAGAAAATCTGTTGTATTATCATTATTGATGACTCTCTCTATGAAGAAGATGAGACCTTCAATATTTCTCTGAGCATGCCAGTGGGTGGCCAAATTGGCAATGAATTCCCAAGCACTAAAATAATAATTTTGGATGACACAGATGATGGTGAGTGTAAAGAAGCAATTTTGTTTTGTTGGGACTTTCCTCTTTGGAAGTTTTACTGATTAAATAATTTCTTTCACTTTGTTTTTGTTTTTTAAGCAGCTGAAAACTTGGATCTATGATTTGCTTAGTAGAAAAACTGGCAGAACAGATGTGAACTGTGTTTAAGATACAGTGTAAATGTGTCATGCACTTCGGCTTACGCTGATTTGTTATTGCATTAGGAGTTGAGGATTAGATTTTCTTTGCTGGCATAGGACTAGATGGCTGGTTTATTACTCTGAAGTAGATCTGTGAGGGTTACATTTACTGTTACTGCAGCAGAGCCTGTAATTACAGTAGTTTACACAGGTATAAGATTACTTCTGTGAAAGTATTATAGATTAAAATAATGTATATATTATCAGATAAAGCTAATTAATAGAGGCTAATTTGTCATGCATGGTAATTTCCAGAGTGTCAAGACTAGAGCACTTTTAAGGTATAAATACAAGTCTTCCTTTTTTGTTATAAAATTGGAGACACAGAATTCACTTCAAGAATTGATACTATTAGACAGAAGCAGAAGAAAAGCCATGTACTTCATTGTCATACTTCTGTTTGTTCTTCTAGTCCCTGTCTTTCTTGCTAATCCAATCTTTGTACCATGATTAGACACGATGACACGTGATACATGGTCAGGTCCAGTATTTAAGATATAGTGAGCTGATTCTTTGCAGCTTTTGATTAACTTAATAAATAATGAGAATTTGGGGGCTGATTTCTGTGTCCTGCAATAAAAAAGTAAATTTGACTCTGTTATATGAAGTAGAAGCTAAAGACACAGGAGAATGTTTCTATTAGCTACTGTTTATTTCTACCCTTTTGTATGTCCTGCAGAAGTCAACTAGTCAGAACAGACACAGATAAATTGGTGAGGGGGAAAATGCTTTCTCAAAGGGAATATGAATGGGCCAAAATAATCACTGGTGTAATTTCTCTGAGGCCAAAGGATTTACATCAGAAGTGAATGTGCCATGACAATGAAGTTAAGAGATTTGTCAAAAGGCTTCTTTACCTTTTTCAGAGAATAGGAAGAGAAAATAATGCATTACTAAGCCATTGTGTCAAGGAAAGTGTTGTTTTCTTTACCTGACTCAATGACCAGATTTTTATTTTCATGAAAAACAAAATAATTTATTATCAGCAGATCAAAACTGCTTCCTATGCAGTTTTCAATAGATAGAAAATTATTTTATATATACATAAAGCTAAATTACCACATAGACAATTATATTATTTGACAAAAAATTATCATGTTTCTACTTTTCAATACAACTTTGATAGGTTATCATATATTCACTTTCTTTACTTCTTTGTTATAAAACTTTCTTTCTAAGAGTACCATCCAGCAAAATACTTAATAACCTATCATCAGACAAATTCTGGGTAATTCTGGACTCAGCCTACATCATATGGAAAGATAGCCAGGGTTGAAGCCCGGTTTCTTAAAGTGTGCTCTGAAATGAAGAGTCTTTTAAGAATGCATCACTTTGTAAGACTATTTCCGTTTTGAATAGACAGAAAAGAAGCTGCCACTCTATTTTGATCTGACGTGGAAGTAGACTGCTGGCACTGGATTGATTGATATGAAACTGCACAGCCTTCTTTATCAAATGTGTAAAATTTGAGTTTCAAAGAGTAGTTTCACCAGTTTTGTTTTTTCTGCAGAATGGCACCTTCATCCACCAAGTTTCTAATACAGTACTGTGAGTGTATATACTTTGGATAAATATATATACTTACCACTCCTACAGTGCATAGTCCTACAGTCCATTAAAGTGAAAAAGATTTCACAGAATCGTCTAGGTTGGAAAAGGCCTTGAAGATCCTCCAGTCCAACAATTAACCTCACCCTGACCGTTCCCAACTCCACCAGATCCCTCAGCGCTGGGTCAACCCGACTTTTCAACCCCTCCAGGGATGGGGACTCCCCCTCTGCCCTGGGCAGCCCATTCCAACGCCCAACAACCCCTTCTGCAAAGAAATACTTCCTCAGAGCCAGTCTGACCCTGCCCTGGCACAGCTTGAGGCCATTCCCTCTTGTCCTATTGCTGTTACTTGGTTCGAGAGGCTCATCCCCCCTCTCTGCCCCCTCCTGTCAGGGAGCTGTAGAGGGCGATGAGGTCTCCCCTCAGCCTCCTCTTCTCCAGACTAAACCCCCCCCAGTTCCCTCAGCCGCTCCCCGTACGACCTGTGCTCCAGACCCTGCACCAGCTTTGTTGCCCTAATTCATAGCCATATGCCTGGTTGTATCTGAAAGAGGAACACTTAAGGGTTTTTGTTAATACTGGGAAAAAAAGGTTGTTTAAACAGATAAAATTTCTCATTGTAAAGAGCAATATGCTACCAGCTGAAGTATGCACGCCAAACTTGGAATGATTTTTAGACTTAGCAAAGGAATAATACAATAGTAAGACTCAAGGTGCCTCTTTCCACCTGGAGAAAGCTGAGTACTGCTTAGATATGGGATGTGTCTCTATTCACACAGTCCTTTGGTCAAGTTAGTTACGATGACGTGTGCTGTGATGCCTCTAACAATGACCGGATAATCCTATAAGGAGAAAAAGAAAGAAATTGAGAGACAAAGACTTAAAAGAATTATTTGCAGCCCTAAGGGATAATAATATTCTTGTGTTAGCCAGCCCTAGAAAAAGGAAAATGCAAAATTTTGTTGTTAGAATCTGATAGTGTTCCAAAACTACTTGTATGGATAAGTGACCATACTCAGCATAAATGTTGATTCAGGCCATGATTAGCTTTAATATAAATGAACCAGGAACATGACACACATTTTTTGCATTTGTGGCCTTTTTTTATATTACAAATTTTTACAGAAATGTCCATAATATTGGCATCACTTCCAGAATTTTACAGGTTTATGAACTGCTTAACAGCTTAAATAAAAAGCAGATAACCTTACAGCAAACTGCTAAGCGTAGTCCTCCATGGCAAGGTCTGAGTTCTGAACCCCTTCATTTGTAAGTACAGATGGTAAAAATATGGCTGGGTTTAAGTAAAGGGCACAATAGTAGATAAGCTTGAATAATTACATCATAAGTGCTCAAATACCTATAGAGGTGTTAGACTACATCAGTGCAGTCAATGGAGCTTTTGCTGATAGCAAGATAAAGCCTTTTTCACAGTGTGGAGAAGTGTGGAGCTATGACCACATCCAGATATATGCAGTATGAATGTGTTCCTTGCTATAACAAGCAACACAGGAAGTACTACTCGCACTTTTTCTAAATAAAAGTAATTTGGGAACCATTACTTTGCTCCTTTGTTCACCCATGATGAGATTCTGTGAACACTCCCTGTCATTCATATATATATATATATATATATGCAAACATCTTATGCTAATTTTATTCACAGCATCCACATCTGATGATCATCAAATACAAAGAAATTACAAATACAAAAGGTATTAAATACAAAGGTATTAGTGTTGATATGTGTGGTATTAGTATTGGTATTGCTTAACATTAGTAAGGTTTGAAGTAACAAATACATTTCTTCTCAACTATTTTTTTTTTTTAAAAAAGACATTTGGGAGAGAAAATGTGTTGAAGGCATTGATCAGAGCTTGAAGTATGGTTTGGGAGGCATATGCCCAGGGATTCCTTAAAGAGAAAAACGACTTTATAAAGAAAAAAGTCCTAAAATTTTGTTGTCAATGTCATAAGGAGAGGTCTGACACAGGCTACCTCACAGAATCATGCTATATGCACGTATAAACCAGAAATAACTCGGTATTAGGTCTCGAGTCTTCAAAGTCACCAGTTTCATATAGCTTAGTGCATGTAAAAGTTTAAAACTTAAATCTTTCTAATTACTACTCCACATTCTCATAGCATCAAGTAACAAATAAAGGAAAGTGTTAGTTCAAGAAACAGCAAGTTAATAGTCAAGACATAAAGCCTTTGATCTAGGGTGTCTCCAGGCCAGAGAACAGTGCAGGTTTTCTAGTAGACCCTTGATCCTAAACCAGTAAACTAGAAGTTGTGTATCACTTTCCTGTAATGTGGGCACCTGGGAGCACGCTGTCCTGTCCGTGTCTGGCTGAGCAAAGGGTCTGCCTATTCAGTAAACGGCTTTGAAGAATTAAGTGCAAACAGTTTGTGATTTTTCTAAGCAAGTGGAAATCCACATTAGCTCTTTGCTTGAGTGTAAAGTGTCATCACAGGTAGAACAGGTTTCAGGACCACAGCCTAAAAAAATCCAAAAAACCCCTAGAAAATTGGCTGGCTTTCCAGGCCAAACTAACAATTAGAGCTATTATTTTATGAAGGAAAATTGATTTTAAATTGTTTTGTGGCATTTCCTTATTAAAATCACTATTGTTTCCTAAAGATTACTAGTTACCTCAGATGGTGTTTTGCTTTCTTAGTTAAATGTTCATTAATTAATGTAATGATTTCTTCAGGGACCATCATAAAAGGGAAAGAAAAGCATAAATGCATAAATGACCTCCCCTTATAAAATGGCTTTTCTTTTTATCCTTTTTTTTTTTTTTTTTTTTTTTTTTGGTGTATCAGCTTTTGAAATGCTAAATAAGGTATGTGTCTTTTAAGAGTACTGAGGTTATCTTTGGGCTCCATACTAAGAATGGATTGTGTTTCAGAGACAAGTGATTGATTCATTGTAATAATTGAGTCACAAGTGTCATCTTCCTTGAGGGTTGGACCTCAAATGTTTAATAGCCCGTTGGCTGATGTTTATTATACCTACTATTTTTGGGAGAGTAGATGTATCTAGACTGAATATTCAGAAACTCTGAAGACACAGAAGATACTGTTGAATATATCAAGTCACAGTATCCAAGGAACAATTCTCTCTCGTTGTATTATATTTATATGGGAAACATGTTCCTTTGAAAGATTAAAAAAAAATATATTATAGCATTACTTATTTTTATCTTCATCTGCTTGTCTTTTGAAATGAACAAAAGTATTTGTTTGCTCTGTATTTTTCATTGAGAATACAGTAAGATTAAGAAACTTTGGATCATTGCAGCAAGCATTTCAAATTCTCTCAGCAAGGAGAATGATAAAAAGCTCAGCACAATTTAAAATGACAAATTATGGTGACTATAATAGAAATGGGAAAGGTGACTGTGATAAGAATGATATGACGATTACTGCATTTCCTTAAGCCATATTTCAAAACAAAAAAGCTTGTTATCAGAAGGAGCAGCACCAACATCTGAAGTTATAATGTTGCGGTCCATACAGTTGTACAAACAGTATGCACATTCAAGGGGAAAAAAAAAAAATTTACTCTCACAATTATTAGGAGGTTGCTATTTAATGTCCAATTCAAGACAGTTATCATGGACCGCAGTAAGCTGAACTGCCTGATCTCTTAAAACTTCAAAAGAATTGCAACCTGTACTTGAAAATCCATTAAGCTTTGCCTAAGGGAAATTGATGGACTTGATATTTGAAAGCAGATTTCTATGTAAATAGAGAAAATTAACCAGTCTACTTTTTAAACTAGAATCTCAGACAGTTCTTTCAGAGGGGAAAAAGAAATGAGAAAGAATAGATTACATCATATTACAATATTTTTTTTTACATTTAAAAAAAATATGAATAAAATGAATAAAGTATTTACTTTGCAGGGATCATTGTCATGAAATGTAGCCAAAATTGTAGCATCATTTGTCAAGCTGTAATTTTCTAAATTATTTTTCCATTCCTGGTGGGGGACCCCTATGATTTTTCTGCCCACTCACTGAAGTAGGAGGATCCTGGTCCCCATGACACCAATCTAACCTGCAGTGATGCTTTTGCCTTGTGAGGATTTACTCTTTCTGTGCTTTACACAAACACAACTGTAATGACTTATAGGGCATCAGTGGTCACTTGATAATCCATTAGCTGTGACAAAAGGGCATGTAAGTTTGTATATTTAGATTCCTACTTTTCTCCCTACCGTGTGGGGAAGACTTAATCATTAAAAATGCATAGCCAGTGGGAAGGGAATGTGATCATCTTCAAACTCTTACCTGTCACGGCAGGAGGAATATTGCCAAAACTGTCAAATAACTGATGATTAAAACTGCTGAGATACTGCTTTAGGCAAGGCAAAATTTTATTTGAAAACATCTTGAAGTATTTAATTGACATAAAATGAGACATTGTTTGACTTTCAGTTGTGATACCCTTCTTAAAACACAAAAATACTTCAAGAAATTAAAAACAATTTTCAAGAAAGCCAACACCTCCAGTCCCCCACAGGTTGCATTTTTTAGCTAGAAGTAAGTTCTGCAGTCCTGATGAATAGATATGTCCCTCAAAAAAAACACATTTTCAAAGAGCTTTGTGTATTGTTAAACTATTTAACCCACCATCAAGTGTCTGGTTTCATTCTCCAACCTTTCTCTTGAGTTTTGCATGCAAAAGCTTTGCTTTGTTAGACAACCTTCTAGGCTGAATAAGGAAGGAATTGTTTCAGCCTTTTTAAGGGTAATCTATCAAAAGGCTGAAAATAATTCAGTCCTGCTTGGAACATTTGTACCTTCCTTAATACTGTGTGATGAAGACTTCATCTGCTTATACAAGTAAGTCTTTGTGATTATTAGGGTTTGCTCTGATGGTAATGTGAAGGTTTGCATTCAGTGGCTCAAGAAAATTACAGTAAGTATCCAGAGGTGCCTGCAAGCTGGAGTGGAAATCTTTATATAGGTATGGGCCAGATGGTGTTCTGATGTTTTCACATATACATGGAGGAAGGAGACAGTGCCTCTAGGCAAATGTAAAATTCACACATTAACTGAGCAATACAGTCTGTCTCTGTTGAGAGTAGAACTTAGCTAGATATCCTCCCCCATTCACAAATGATCATTTATTTAGGTCTGGGAAGGTAAGATCCAGAATGTATAAAAATTATTACTAGGATGAGTTACTTCTATTATTGAATTGCTTGACATTATGTAGAAAAGCTTGTGTATTTTTCGGTGTTCTACTTGGCACATTGAGTAGTTGAAAACTGTTTGTCCCTTTTATAAAATTGGCTTTAAAACCAGTAGTAAACTGAGCTCTGGAAAACACTAGAAAATTAAAAACTCTTTATGGACCATGTTGTTTTACTCAAAGCTTCCATTTGCTTAACTGTAGGAGACAACAATCACAACTTCTAAAGTTTTTCAGAGTTCTCTGATTTTCCCCAAGAGGTACAGAAGAAATTCAGTGTCTTAAATGGATGCTGGGCTTTTGTGCAACTGCTGGTGGTTCCGCTAAAGAAGATACTGGCTATTGCACTAAAATAATCTTACAGTGGTATTGGAGAGGTTCTCTACGTTGTGTTCGTATAGGTTAGTAATAATATACAACACAGACAAAATGTGTCAGGCTTTATCAATACTGATAGGATGATAAAGCTTACTATTGTTTAGGTGACAAAAGTAAAGGAGGCCATGTATTGAATTTAGCAGACTCTATCCATTAGTTAGTAGAAGCAGCAGGTATAATGTGTCTCCAGTGTGTGCTGCTTCATTCTTCTTGATGGGTATTCAGAAAGGCAGCTAAATTGGCTCTGGTTTGAGAGTTTTGTGATGTTTGATCTCTTGCACTAAACAAGAGTCTGCTTAAACCCGATTTAATATTGACCTTTTCCATGACCTGGATTGTGCAACTTTTTCTATTCCCTATGAGTAACTGAAGTCAGTTTACCACACTGAAGAAAAAAACAGCTTGTAACCCTTTAATCTGCTACATCGATGTCAAATGTATGCTTTGAAAACAATTTTAAAAAAAAAGCCTGAACTCTTGAAATCCTGCAAACTGTCTTTATCTTTTAGGAAAGGGGGAAGGTATATTTAGATATCTATTTCCTTTAATATTAAATTAAAAAAAAAAAAATCTGCCTTAGTTTACTTAGCAAAAATGTAATGGAAGAACTATCCCATGTCTTATGTCTGTTGTTATGCTACATAATCACAGTTCTTGAAGTGGCTGTTTTACTTCAGATGGTAAGGTAAACAGCTGGCTGTGAAAGATCTCCATCGGTTGCAGATAAAATAAAAAAATATTTAGATACAACACTTTATTTACTTAATTCAAGGAGTATTTAGTTTGGTTTTTAAAGGATTAAAACCCCCTTATGTTAAGTTGTAGGCAGGTGTATTTATGTAAGTGGACAGTAGATATTACTGGAATTTGCAGGGGAAATTGGTAATTCTGGGGCCTTTTAAAAAATATATTAAAAGTCAAACTGCAAAGTTTAAGCACTAAAAGTCAGACTGAAGAGTTAAGCATACATGCACAAGAGCAGGCCAAAGAAGCTCTTTCAAACATATATGCATTTTTCTCTGTATTTAGAACCTGCTTTGTACTTTGCTAACACTGAATATCAAGTGGATGAAAGCGCTGGTTATGTGGAGATTTGTGTCTGGAGGACTGGAACAGACCTGTCCAAAGCAGCTTCTGTCACAGTGAGTTCCAGAAAAACAGAACCAGCGTCAGCAGAGGGTGAGTTACATAAAAATTTGCTTCGGTTGTTTTGGAGCGTGTGTGAGGGACATGAGAGCATGAAAATGGGATACCTGGCATTCACTCTCGTTTATCTTCAGTGTATATATGGGCTGGAAAATTTAAGTAAAAGACGTAAGACGTGGATTTATCAGGTAGAACCATGATATTTGTGACCCCGTTGTGTATGGCAAGGACAGCTCAGCTAAGCTCACTGGCTTTCTGAATGTGAATAAAATGGTCATTAATTTACTTGCACCTCAACTCGCAGCAGACACTGGGGGAAACAACTGGAGTGAGAGTGTTGTCTTTATAGCACTGTGTTCCCTGGAATAAAACTGAATTTACAGCATAAACCTGCAGTTGCCCTGAAATGATTCTATCAGTACAGTACCCAAGGAAGCTTTATTTATCTATAAGAGCTGGTATAGCTGAGATTTTAGGGTGCCTCAGTTACGGTGGGAGAAATTCTGGAAGGCATGATCACTGTGACCTCCAAAGATTTTTCTCTGTCCAACACTGACCCAAAATACCCAAATTCTGGTGGCTCTGTCTGTAAAACCCTTGTTTTGTTTCTCAGTCCTAATGAAAAGTCATTTTCCCTACCAGACTTCAGGAATACTTAGGCTGGCCAAAATTTTGTGGTGCTGTTTAAATATGGCGCTTGACTTGCTAGCTGCTAAATTAATTTTAAGGAACAGTTATAACTGCTGGGTGCCAAGGAAATCAGTTGCATTAACAAGAATTTCTTTGTTCAGCACAAAAAATTGATGACACGCTGGCAAGAGACAGGTAAGGCTTCAGAAATTTTTGTATTAATCAAGCTGGAAGCAAAATTGTCTTTTTTTAATATGTATGTGATAGATGGTCAGACTCGCTACCAAAAATAATAAATTAGAGCAACTAGTAATGCAGCATGTATGTGTGAAGGTACAGTTAATTAACTTGCAATGTACATATATGAAAAAAGAATTTGACTACAGTTACTGAGGAACAGAGAAGCGATTAACAAAATAACAATGTGTGTGATAAATATGTGAATACTCACTATTAAGGTGAAAAAATATGTTTGGGTCCTACAGGATTTTCTGTGTTGTGCATAAAGTAGCGAACTAATGGTGCATGTCTAATCTTGTATTTTTAGTTTTTTTAAAAAAATCGCTTCTGTAAAGCCTAGTTATGAGATTTGGAAAAAATACCTTCTTAATTAACTCTTTTCCAAATTTTAATTATTTATTTATAGAGTTATTTATTGTTATGTTATTTGTTATCGTTGTTATGTTATTTCTTATTGTTATGTTATTTGTTATTGTTGTTATGTTATGTTATTTGTTATTTAGAGCTATTTATTTATTTATAGAGTTTTACACGCACACAAAAAATTAATGTTGTTGTATATGAAATGCCTATGTGCACAGTATTTGATCAAGGAAAACAAAACCTGTGCAAGAACTGTGGTTCTTCATAATGCACAGAGCCAACCAGGGAGGTCATCTTTTATGAAGGTTCAGTCTTCCTTGCCTCTAATCCAGAGGCTGCAAAATGATATGTAAAAGAAAAAGGCACAGTTGCTTTTAAGTATTACATTTAAACATACTGTGACAAAGGAGGGAAGGAATTGCTGTCATTACAAGCAGCAAATAGAACATTTAAAAGGGGATAGGCAGGAACACTCTGGGTAAAAAGAATGCAAAATTATGGAAATAGAATCTCGGTGAAACAATGGGACACAAGTGGAAGGGAGAAGTGAAACCATTATACGTCTTCCAGTTTAGATTTAATAGTCTCATGCATACACACAAAAAAGTCATTCTAGGTGTTTTCACCAGCGCTGAAGCTGCCTGCTTCTTTTAGTGATGAGACAGTGGTAACAGCATGGTTTTAAGCTCAGTGATCTAGCCTGGTGCAAGACGCTTTTTCTTAGGGTACAGCTGGAATTATTCTGGCACAGATATCTGCTACTTTAAAGGTAAATAACTAAGTAAACCCCCATGTATGTAGTCCAGACTTGAGCAAAAGGGTTAAATGGCTGTGGATATGAGGTCTATTGTGTGTTGTTGATGCTGTAGCCTGTTACTCTGCAGTTTAAGGGGTCTTAAACAAGTTTTAATTGTGCTGTTTGCATAAAGAGTGAACGTTGATCCAGATATGCGTTTGTGTGTGTTTTGCACTGTATATTCATTGTTCCCAAATTGATTTGCGCATGACAAATCTGAATTGAACTTTCTTCAGGATAGCAGTAGAAACAACTATGAACACATTTCACAAATGTACGAGTGAATGTTAACATAGAGTAGTAACTGACCATACAAGTCTCGTTGCTTCCCAAACAGCTGGATTTGATTATGTGGGCATCAGCCGTAACCTGGATTTTACACCGGGAGTCAACATGCAAGTGTTACAAGTGATCATCCATGATGATTTGAGCCAGCCTATTCTGGAAGGTTCAGAGAAGTTTGAACTAGTTCTCTGCATGCCCACGAATGCAGTGCTTGGAGAGCCCAGCAAAGCCACTGTCTTTATCAATGACACTGTCACTGACTGTAAGTATAAAGGGAGTGGGGGACAGGTTTTTTTCAATTATTTTTCCTCTTTGTGTTTTAAGTGCACTTAGAAGGTGGAAGAGCTCTTTTGGCAATAGCATAAATTACTACATGTATATATGCTGTGATATATCATTTACCCCAACTACATTATAAGGATTAACAACTGTGTGCTACACCTGAAGTTGGAATACAGGACTATAGTGCAGGGCAGGTTCTTTCTCTGGCTTCGCTTCCTTCTCATTATGTACTTGAAGACAGTGTTTTGGACAAGTTAACATAACAGTGGAACTGTGCTGTGAGCTAAAACTACACATGCTTATGCCTGGTGTGTTAAGGCTATTTGAATGAATATTAATTTTGAAGGTAGAGAAGCCAAAGGGATTAAACTTTTTTTTTTTCCCCTAGTGCAGTTATTTGAACACTAAAAATTGTGGGGAGCTAAGTTTTTTAAATAATTATGAGATATTGATGCTCATGCTATTGAATGAAGCTTTTTCTGTGTTGTCTCTTCTAGGGGAGCATTAAGGGGGAAAAAAAAAAGTTAGGTGTAAAACTTTAAAAGTGAGCAACACTCAACACAGCACAATTTTGAGAGGTTCTCCAGCACTTGATAAATAAACCAAGCTGACTCTTAGCGGTCTCAGGTTTCTGAAAATTCATAGAACTTCAAAGACTTAAAGAAGCTATATTGTTTTAGAAAACTCATTCTCCAACAGAACTCTGAAGAGTGGTTACAGTTTCACTGTGAAATCACCAAGTTTTAGCTACTGTGAGAGGACTTCTGACAGAATTAGTATTAAATTGGAAATTAGTTGCCATGGACCAGTTAAGTATTTGAATTTGTCTAGATTCAAAATCTGTGTTTAAAAAGCATGTGAACTTGCAAATGGCAAGGTTTAACGTATGGCTGAAACACCGGGCTTCCTTAGCATCTATGTTTCCAGACTCCACCTCTAAAAATACGTTCACGAGCAGTTAATGAATACTTCATTTGTTCTTTTCCTTTCAGGTTGTTAATGGCTCTCATGATATTTATGTTTCAGGAATGCCGCCGGTTATCTCCACACGCCCCTTATCCAACTTTGAGCTAATGCTTAGTCCAGATGGCACTCGTGTGGGACACCACAAGTGCTCCAACCTACTTGACTATAATGAGATCCAGACCAAACATGGGTTTATTACAGAGGAAATGAAGAACCCCAAAGTGATTGGAGAAACGTCACCTTACCAGTACAGCAGTGCTCTGCGGTCTGCCAAAACCTTGCACTTCTACCAGAACCTCAACCTTGAGGCTTGCCTTTGGGAGTTCAACAGTTACTACGATATGTCTGAGCTGCTGGCTGACTGTGGTGGATCCATTAGCACAAACAAATGGGCAGGTATGTGGCACTGAAGCACCTTCCTCTCTCAACAGGAGGCTTTGGAAGCAGAAGCCCAACAGAAAGCCTTACTAAGGATTGAGTGAGACAGGATTTAGTCACTGCACATGTGGTTTGATACATGTTCTGTTGGCACAAATGTTTTTAGATGTACACGTTTGCACTGTACTTCTGTGCGCAGACATGAATCATCTTCCTCGTAACTGAGCACAGCTTACTGCATGGCTGTTGCTCCTAGTCGGGATTTTAGAAACTGCTTTTTTGACCCAAAGAGCTTTTCCAAACTCTGTACCTGCTTATGCTATCACCAAAGTCCGTGTAGCATCATATTCAAAAAGGAGGATCCAACTTTATTGTCTTATAGAAGTAAACCATGTGTGTAGAGTATATATTAGTGACCCCAGAAGTGTGTTTTAAGGCTACACAAAAAAATGCTTTTTTTTTTTTTTTTTTTTTTTTTTTTTTTTTTTTTTTTTTTTTTAACCCTAAAATACTTTTTTAATTAGAAGCTCTAATTTAGATTTACAGTGTTTGGGCTTTAGGCAGACCTGTCAAGTAGGTGAGATTTTATAAATAGAAGATTGAATCATAAGGAACAAACACACGCCTAATTTTCCTGAGAAAAACAGGCCATCGTTCCAGGTCTTTGATATGAATTGTGTCAACATCAATCACAGAGCAGGCATGGTGGCTCCTCTGTGTAGTGTCTGCCAGCACATTGTGTTTACTTGGAAAATAACCCAGCGCACAAGCACCCTACAGCAATTGCACTTACATTACAGGAAATTCCAGGCTGTAGATCCTCTGTGCAGACTCCACGTTGAATCAGCCTTGGCTCAGCAGCTTGATGCTTTCCCATTCTGTAGGTGCTCAACTGTTACTTTCTCAAGTGATGCTCAGTGGTCAGAGAAGATTTATTTACTAATTATCTGCTTGGCCTCCCATTCTTGTTGCTTGTTAGTCGCTTGGTAGAGAGAGAGCTGCTTAACTCAGACCATAATTTTAAATTGCAGTGTTTCAGGGTGCCATAATATATAGACTTCAATCTATTGTAAAGGTAGGTGTTACTTACTTACAGGACTTATTTTTAAATTTGTGTTTGATTTCTGAATGCCTAAGGGATCTGGCGGTTCTGATCTGGAATTTTAATTTAGGCCACCTTCAATTTCTATGAAGTTTCTTTTGAAGGCTTTACCTTTTTTTAAAAAAAAAATAAAAATCCAAAGTGAACCAAAATTTTAGTCCTTGTTTTGGAGAGGTATGAACCCTGTTATGTTACACTGGCAAAGATTTGAGGACGGTCTCTAGTGAGGTGATTTGTAGGACATGAAATAATAATGATGTCAGGAACAGATGTAAAATGTTTTTGCGCAGGGTTTTTTTGCTTCGATTTAAAGAGTGCAGTTCATGAGAATGAAAAGTTGGCAGCTTTTTTTTTTTTGTGTGTGTGTTTTTTTGTTTTGTTTTGGTTTGGTTTTTTTGTTGTTTTTTTTCAGGTCAACTGCAGTAACCTGGTACCTCAATGTTTTTCAGGTCTTGAATCTGGTGCAGTCATATGTAACTCTGCGAGTGCCTCTCTATGTCTCTCCTATGTCTTCCACTCCCCTGCTGCCATTGGTGGCTGGCAACATTTTGATTTGCAATCTGAACTGAGACTCACCTTTGTGTATGACACTGCTATCCTGTGGAAAGATGGGATAGGCAGCCCTCCTGAATCGGAGCTCCGAGGTGAGCTGTTTCAGATACCATCATTTCTAAACTCCATCCTATTCAACGTTCTGATGATGGGAGACATATGGTCAATAACTCAATGCTTTTTGTCCTTGAGAGTCTTGAAATCAGTAACAGCACATTGACTCCCTCAGTTAAAACACCCACCTAAAGGACAATTATATTTGTACTTTAATGCCCTGTGTTACTAGACTAGGTGTTTTGAATCTTCCTTCAGTTGTGTACCACTTTGAGTCTATGAAAAATGAGATAAACTAGTGCACAGACCAACTCTAAAGCAGACATTCTTATGGAGAGATAGGCTCCAGTGCTGAATTTTGGTACCAATTACAAGGCCACAGAAGCATTTACATAGCCCTGTGCAGGGGAAGTGCCTGTAAAAGGGACCTTACTGGAGTGAGCAGCCCTGGTGTCCATGTGACAAAAAGTCCCAGACACCACCTTTCTCCTGTCTGCACTCTGTTATATCGGTATATGTGGATATACTTCAGGTGAGGACAGTCGTATGTCAGCAAGAGGAAGGAAAAAAAGAATCTGCCTTAATGACTCAAACTATTAGCAGGGGTAAATGAGTGCATTTCTTCTGAAGTTGGTGTGTTTGGAGATCTAGCTCAAAATAATCAATTATTGATATCTGTGAAGAGCACCAGAGTTTAGGTAGAGTGTTTCAGATCTCTATATGCAGAAAATACATGAAGAGCCTTCCTTTAAAAATGCACTCAGGAAATGTTGGTGGTAAAATTGTTGTCTTTTCCTCCCTAGGCTCCCTCTATCCCACGAGTATGCGGATCAATGACGAAGGGCGACTAGTGGTGAACTTCCGAATGGAGATTCGTTTCCGGGGCCAGCTGGTGATGTCCCACCCAGGTGTGTGCCCAGCCTGTCCACCTCTGCTAGCCAGAGCATCTGTAGTGCTGTCTACCTGGTGGAGGAGAAGGGTATCACAGTAAGGGGTCTGTCTCAGTGTAGAAGGAGAGTAAGTAACTGAGGTGCTTCCTTTTCTGGGGTGTAAGTTAATGCCTTTCCATTCTCTGGCTTCTTTGCTCTTGTCTGCTGATTTTATACCATGCCAGGCATCAGTATTAATTATGGCAAATTCTAATTTCCCTTTTATTCTTTCAGGAACATCTCTGACATCAATGGTGATATCCACTGACCACCCTGGCCTCACGTTTACGCTCAGTCTGTTACAAAGTGAGCCGACCTTCCACCAGCCTGTGCAGCAGTGGAGTTTTATTTCTGACTTTGCTGTGAGTTTGCATTCAGGCTTGAATTTATGGAAGCAAAGGAAATGTCAGTTTTTAACATACTTTCCATGCAGTCGTCAGCACTATAAGATCAGTAAGCATCAACTCGTTTGGATGCAGTCATGTATTTTCATTACATAATGAACAGTCAGAAGTCCCTGGTTTCCCTGGAGCTTTAGTCCGGAGGCCTGAGCTCATGCTCTCGGTAGCTGGCACCATTCAGGGAGCTGTGGCCTCTCTTGAAGAATTTGCCCTAACATTATCTCCCTTGGAATTGCCAGGAAACTGATCCAGGAGTGGCTGTTGCTGTTCTGAGAAGCTAGATTTTTCCCCACAAAGCTGCTTAGCTCCTGCTGAGCTCAGGAACTGCTGTGGCCCCACAACCTCTGCCTCTAATAGGGCAGAAGAGTCTTGCTTAAAATTGTCTTGCTTCTCTGAGAGGGTCACAGTTCAGTTACTGAGCTGGCAGGAAAGGAGCTGTTTGCATTCACTAAAAGTTGAACCAAAATCAGCTTCTCTTCAGAGAGTATGTTAGATTTGGACACTGACATATTGGATTACCACCACCACAGCAAGGTCAGTCCCTCAAAGGCCTGATAGCAGGTATTCTCTATTAGTCCTTATTTTACAGAGAAGTAGAGGGGAGACAGCACATGTCAGTGCCTTGCCTGTGCTGCTGAAGTGCATTGACAGTGGTGCACATGCTTCCTGCATGAGGTAAAGCCCCACAATTGTAAACAGCAATGTCCAAGATAGTGAAAGTCTTTAGGATGCTGCTGGGAATTCAGCTTTACCTCAGGGACAATGTGAGCTGAAAAAGAGATCGTTCAGAGACTGTGAAGAAATGCTCATTTCTCTGATCTTTTTGCAGGTACGAGATTACTCGGGTACTTACACTGTGAAATTCATCCCTTGCACTGCTGCGCCTGGTCAGCAATACACCCTTCCTGTCATCTGCAACCCACGGGACCCGATTGCGTTTGATGTGGACATCAGGTTCCAACAGGTACACCATTATTTTACTTGGGACTCGCACATTTTTCCATGAAGCCTCATGGGCAAAACCAGCCAAAAGTAAATTTAGGCTGAAAGGAGAGGTGTTCTGTAACCACTGAAATAAATGTTCCAGCATAGGCCATCCAGTAGCAGTTGTCAAGAGATAATCATGGAGTATTTCAGAAGGCTTCAGAAGGAGTTTTACAGTGCTTGTAGATTGCTCTTGATCTCATCTTCTCAGGTCAGATAAAATCAAACTAAATTAATTCTTTTCCCAGTAATTAAAATCTTATTTTTCCATTTACTTACCTCATAGTCTAGCCTATTCCCAAGTACTTTGCTGCTGTTTTTTTCAGGAACGCAGGAGCTGAAGGGGGAATTCTAGTTCAAAGTGATACTGTTTTCAAAAACAACTTGTAGGTTTGTTTTTGTTTTTTATTTTGTTTTGCTTTATTTTTTAAACTGAGATTCAGAATTGTATCAAAAGGGTCTTTTTCTCAAGCAGTGGTAAAGGCTTTGTGCAGTGGTAGTGTGACTTTGTGACAATGTTTCTGTACATACTAAAGCAAAAAAAAAAAAAAGGCAACACACCAAGTAGTAGTAATTTATGACTGTAGACTGTTACAAAGACCAAATTTTCTGTTGCAGTTAGCTTGAGGAATGACTTCAATAGCAATTGGAGACCAAGGGCTCTGAATCTGACATTTAACTTCCCCTGAACATACCAAACTTTTTAAAACCTCTTAGTATAATCCTTCAGCCAATACATTAAAAATGACCTGTTGGGGTTTTTTTGTCCCCCAAAAGTACTGGATACGTCAGAGCCCTTTTGACCATTAGGGCTGCTTTTTAACCTTTTGTTTCATTATCCTGTTACGTAGCTGTGTAGCAAGCATGGAGACAAATGTATTACATGCAAATTAGCTGAATTTTTCTGTCTTGTTTGCTCAAGCAATTGGCATTGAATTTAAAGATGCTGCTTCAGAAATAGTCTTCCTGCTGCCACCTTGTTAAACAAGACATTTTCCTTTTCCTGTGCAGTATTCATTATTGGATGAGGAAGGAAATAACTGGAGTTGTGGTGGCATTTGCATATTAAGTTATTTTTGCACTTCTGTGAATTTCATCACACCCTGTGGGAAGGAAGCTGACTGTTACCCTAGATGCTGGGCTTATTATGTCTTATGAGGAGCAGCTGGGGGAAGTGGGGGTGTTTAGTCTGGAGAAGAGGAGGCTGAGGGGAGACCTCATGGCCCTCTACAGCTCCCTGAAAGGAGGGTGCAGAGAGCTGGGGATGAGTCTCTTGAGCCAAGTAACAAGCGACAGGACAAGAGGTAACAGCCTCAAGCTGCACCAGGGCAGGGTCAGGCTGGCTCTGAGGAAGTATTTCTTTGCAGAAGGGGCTGTTGGGCGTTGGAATGGGCTGCCCGGGGAGGTAGTGGAGTCCCCATCCCTGGAGGGGTTGAAGAGTTGGGTCGACACAGCGCTGAGGAATCTGGTGGAGTTGGGAATGGTCAGGGTGAGGTTAATTGTTGGACTGGAGGAACTTCAAGGTCTTTTCCAACCTTGATGATTCTATGATTTATTGTGGTCAACAGGATTAATCCTTTACTTCTGTGTTGGAGTGCTGTTGGCCTTCTGTTCCCTTCTACATCTCCCTGCCATTACACGTGTGCTGGGTCTCCCAGCACTCTGCAGTGTCAGAGTCACGGGGCCAGCATGGACCCACTGCCTGGTGCCAGCGTCCTCCATCCAAATGTGCTGGGCTCTCGTGGGCTTCTGCAGCCATGAGGCATCTGTGGTGGGGAAGGAAGAGAGGTGGTGACTGGGAGCGACCTACCATTGAGTTAACCTAGTTGCAGGACAACTCCTCTTGTTCTCAGGCGTGGGCCAAAGGACAGGTTACTTTTCTGGGCAAATTGCAGGCAGCTTCTAGGTCACAAGTAGGACATTCACGGTGCAGCTGGGGGTGAGTAGGAGCAGATGAGGTTTCCCATCCTGTGCTTGTTGGTTTGAATATGATTATTGTTGTTTAGAGTAGGGGAAATGAGGTGGGGTTGAGATAAGTTCTGGTCCTGATCTATTTTTATTGGCCTCTTGCCCACAGCCCTGTTCTCCCAGTAACTTTTGCAAGTGGCACTGAACACTGCACTGCTGTCCTATATCTGAGGAAACCGGTATCTTTTGCTGTTTTATTTGACAACATTTAAATAAAGCACTACAATTGTGTATTTTAATGGGTCATGATGAGAAGCATGACAGGAGATTTATGTATGTGTGTCTGTAGGAGGGATTCTTATAAATGCTGTGCATTGCTGAAAGGTGTGATCAGCACATCACTACTATGGCCATGATCATTGTAAAGCATTTTTTTGATCATTTGATTTCACTTTTCTCCACAGGTCAGTGACCCAGTGGCAGCACAGTTCAGTCTGAATACTCAAATGTTTCTTCTGTCCAAAAAGGAGCTTTGGATATCGGATGGATCAATGGGATTTGGAGAAGGAGCTGATGTAGCCTTTACTAAAGGTAAAAAGTCAATTGTACATTCAGCATATTACAAAAGCTAAAACAGAACCACTTCTAACAAGAGCTGAATATTTTACTAGTTTTATAACCCCTGCATGGTCTATGTATTTCCGCTACGGAAAAGTAAAATACAGAAGCACTAAAATATGATGTAATTTAGTGGAATTGAAACAGGCTTTGGGTCTGTTTATGGGCTCTGAGAGGAAAAGCATTCCAAAGGTAGGTGCATATATCTGAAACTGCAGTTCTGAATACTCTTGCTCAGTTACTGCATATTCACATATTCCCCTCACTCTGATTGTTTTGCTTTAAAGCTTCCCTCACTAGAAATTTTTGCCCCATTCTGAGCAGGCTAAGTAATTTCAGTCCTTAGGTTATTCTAGCCAGAAATGCAGGAATTGAATACTTGTACACCTGAGGCACTTTGACTCGGTCATGCAGCTGTTCTCAATTGCAGACTGGATGAATAGTAACTGCAGCTGGCTTCAGCCAAGCTTCTCAGACTCATTCTTGTTGTGGTTTGTTGTTTGGTTTTTTTTTTTTTCTTCCTCCACTTCTGGCCCTGGGCAGGTGATCTCACACATTCACTCACTGATGGGAGCTGAAGGGAAACTGATGGCAATGGTACTGCTGGACCAGAAATAATTTTGACTTTAATCAGTCCCATATTTGGGTTATCAGTCTGAAATCCAAATGTCCAGTTAAGAACTTTATTTTGCTTGATATAATGCTATCAAGTTGGATAGTTTCTTATATATGAATATGGGTTGCCATCTAGTGAAGAGAAGGGAAGGGCTTGCTTAAAAAGAGTTGCACTGTAAGAACCACACGTCAGTACAAATTGGAACAGAAAATAAGACTAAAGCCCATGATAAGTTAATAGTAACAGCTATGGAAAATCCTGTCTTCATGTGCAAAGGGTAATACGCATAAATCTAGATAATTCCCGTCCTAAGAATTTTTAACAGTGGTTTGGTAATGACTTGATTCAATAATTTTAAATTGACTGGTATAATGTAAAATGTATTAATCTGCTTTATCAGGATCTGAAATCTGTGGCCGAGTGATGGTGGATCCAGTTCAGAATCTCAGCGACTCCTTCAGCTGCAACATTGAGAAGGTGTTCCTCTGCACGGGTGCCGATGGGTACGTGCCCAAGTACAGCCCAGACCATCAGGAATACGGATGCCTGGCTGACTCACCCTCTCTCTTGTACAGATTCAGGAACCTGGTACGTAACCAAAGAGCTATGGTAGCATGCATTTTTAGATCCCTCATTTCCATGTGAGTCTGAAAATACTAGATTTACTTCCTTTAGGATAAAGCTCAACCTGGGACACAAACAAGAGCCTTCGGAAACCTGGAGTTTCATGCTGCATTAGCAGCTGATCATGCAGATGCTTTTCCTCTAGTAAACCAGCCTGGTTCTGATGGTTTCAGCCTGTCATCTGCTCCACTCTTCCAGGCAAGTTGTCTGATAAGTGTATCACAGAAATTCTTTCATGCTAAAAGATGACTGAGGTAGAGAACAGAGCATGTAGGTGATCATGGGCACTATGTTAGTCAGCGACAGACTTTGGCAACACAGTTTAGTTTGTTCCCTCTCCCTAACAGAGCAGAAATGACGACAGCATTGCTTTGTAACACAGAGCTACCCTTCTGCAGCCTTGCTGCTGTTGCAGACACGTACATCTGTGACCGGGAGCAGAAGTCACTGGTTTACCTTACCATGAGAGCCTTTATACATAGGGGAAAATTAAGAAATTAGACTTTATTTTCTTACAATTGGGAGACAGAAAAAAAAAGAAAAATTGGTTTGTATATTATATGAAATAAGAGAGAACTGTGCATCCTGTTTAAGTCGGATTAATTCAAATTCCTGAAGTCTCTTTTTGGTCTCCTGAAGTGGGGGGCTTCTGCAATAAATTAGGACTAGTGTTTTGTTAGGTAAATGTAGTAGCCTTTCTGCATTAACAGGTTAAAGGCATTAAGGTTAATGCCTTTCTGCATTAACATTAGAAAGACATAGGCTCTCTTAGAGCATAGTTTATCTATCTGACCTACTTCAGCAGTCTGCATTAAGAAAAGATTAATCCTATCTCCAAGTGCCTATTTCTGCCATTGACTTTAGGCATATTTGGCAGCAAACTTGAAACGTCTGTCTGGATGAATCTGACGCTTGGTGTTTGCTGGTTTATACTAATGTGCATGGCGGAGGTTATTCTGGTTTTCACGTGCTCGGAGCTTTTTTAAGGTGGCAGCTGGCCGAGAATGGTACGTTCACACCATTTATACACTCCGATCGAAGGAGAATGCACACAGGCACAATGGCAAAAGAAGCCTCGACTATCACCACGTGTTGTCCTCCGCTAAAGGAAGCGTTAACACCACAGCCCTTAACCGCAGCAGAAGAGCCAACCCAGACATCCCAGCCCTCACGCAGGGCATCGGAGCAGATAAAAACAGGGGCACGAATATTCAGCATATTGCGCTTGACCGGTCTGAGAAAGCTGTCGTGGTCCCAGCTGGCGTCACACATCGCAGCCCAGTCCGGGAAATCGCAAGCAGGGACCCTGGAAACAGTCTTGTACCCTTTACTGGAGGCTTGACAGGACTGCTGCTTCTGCTCAGCACTGTGCTTGTAACTCTTTTTTTTGTGGAAACAGAGGAAGCAGCCCTCTGCTGGGAAAAACAAAGCGCCCGTCAGCCACTCCAGCAGCAGTGGTGCTGTGATCACACCACATGACAGCAGGGACAGTTCAGAAGTCTAGACAATTTCTTGGGTGCTTGTCTTTTAAGATGTATTTTCACCAAAAAGCAGACTCTCAAATCTAGCTCTTGGCTGACTCCTTTGCACAGATGCGTGGCTGCTCTTGTTCTAACACAGGTTCAATTATCTGGCAGCTATTTCTGAGAGGGTTGGTATAGTAGGTTGATGTGAGTGACTTATTTATAGAATTCAAACTCCATGAATGGGAGTTGATGCTTTTTTCTTGGGTTTTTAAACCTTGCTTTTCTTTAAAGTTTTGAATATATGCAGCTGTGCCTTATATCCACCATGAAAGGTTGGTGCTTAGAAGGATGCTGGGTTTGATTACCTGTACAGTATCTAGCTTTATGTAACTGATTTTGGTTTTGTGGGGTTTGTTGTTTTTTTTAAATAATTATTGATGGGGAAATAAGAAGGTAGTAGTATTACAACATAAGCTAAGTAGTAGATAATGGTGTTGAGTGATACCAACAGTTTTGTCTCAACTTTTAATGAGGACCTCAGATATCTGTATGGTGGTGGGAGACTCACATAGGCAAGGCTGTACTTGCAATTATCTGTAAGGGAAGTATCACATGTGATCAGTGAGAATTTTGTGAGCATCAGAAGGACACAGGCCTGCTCGAGCAGGTCCAGAGGAGGCCACGAAGATCATCAGGGGACTGGAGCACCTCCTCTCTGAGGACAGGCTGAGAGGTGTTCAGCCTGGGGAAGAGAAGGCTCCGGGGAGACCTTAGAGCAGCCTGCCAGTAATGAAAGGGGCTACGGGAAAGGCGGGGAGGGACTCTTTATCAGGGGGTGTAGGGATAGGATGGAGAGTAATGGCTTTAAACTGAAAGGGGGCAGATTTAGATTACAGATAAGGAAGAAATTCTTCCCGGTGAGGCCCTGGCACAGGTTGCCCAGAGAAGCTGTGGCTGCCCCCTCCCTGGAAGGGTTCCAGGCCAGGTTGGACGGGGCTTTGGGCAACCTGGGCTAGTGGAAGGTGTCCCTGCCCATGGCAGGGGGATTGGGACTAGATGGTCTTTAAGGTGCCTTCCAACCCAAACCATTCTGTGATTCTGTGAATTAGAGCTATATAGTAAAGATACAGTAGAAAAATAGTATGTTGTGCTATCAAACATGCTTAACAGATTGTAGTACTTCAGAACAATACTAACAACTGCTTTCCCATGCTGTACAATAATTGCCTATCTTCCTTTGCTTGATACAGAAATTATAGCATGAAAATACAGGCAAATACTTCTAAAAGATACCTTATTTTGCCAGATGGCACTGGGGAAGCATACTTCTAGCATCTAGAGCAAATACTTTGCTTCGCTTTTTACTTCTACTTGAAAGAAAATGGATTTTCTATAACTAGCAGGATGCCATATGGGAGATTAGGTTTAGTTAGTTCTACTTTGTGTACTGGCACTTGAGAACCGTTAGCACAAATGAAGTGCTGCTCAGCTACTTAATAAATCTTTCCCTTTTCCTTCCTCTAAAGGTTTTTATTTAGGCTAGTTGCAAACAAGCCATCCTGGCTTAGTTGTGGTTTGGGGGTTTGATGGTGTTTGGTTTTTTTTTGTGAAAGGAGATGCTTCTAAATGAAGGCTTCAGCATTTCAGTTTATGGTACACTAAGTGTAAGGAGTTAGAATGAGGTCTTCTAGGGCTGCCAATGATAAGCCAACTTGTAAAGTGGTGTAGATTGGCTCTTAATTCTGCTGTACATACCACATTCTTTTGACTTTTTTGAAGAAGAATGTGGGGTTACTCAAGCTGTTTTCAGCTGTGTCTGCAACTGTCACCTGCAAATAAAAACTAATTTAATGTACTAGTAAGAACGGTACTGCTGTACATTAAATCTACAGGTGTGAATCTGATCTTTTTCTTATGTCCTGTTTTGCTTAAATACTTAAGCTCCAAAAAGCAGATTTTTTTTTCAGGGATGCGTTTCTCCCAGTTTACACAACAATGATGCCTTTTGATATGTGTTCTTAAAAGAGCCAAACCAGCAAAGATTACTAAATGAAAACTGAGCATTTGTTTTGTTTTTTTTTTCCCTAGTAAATTCCAAAATTATGCTATTAGATGATAGATGCCCTGTAATGTAGTTAATTTCATCTCAGTCATTCTATGCCAGATACATAGAAAAGGAAGGACAGTGTAGGAAATGCTGGTGCACAGCACAGTTTGACTAGCTCAGTGAACAGTGTGGATTGCCAGACAATTATAGTCTTGCACCTCAGAGTCAGCACGAGTTCTTTTCACAGTAATCAAGACTGTCTCTGCATTTACCAGCCACGGGTGTTTGAACAAAGTGGGGTATCTTTACATGTTGTTTGTTACCTTTTCGGTTCTGACTTGTTGCTGTTTGCTGGTAAAAACAATTCTACCATTCTTAGGCATAAAAATGTTATAATTTTGTTCCAGTCTGTATGTATGCTGATTGTTAGTTCTTGAAGTAAATACCTGGCCTTTCCATTAATGGCAAAACCATTTGTGCAGAAAAATTAAGTTCAATACAGGTAAGGTTGGAGCCACAGAATTTACAGAAATGGGGTTTGACTGGTGGTGGCTTGTAACAAGAAAACACAACTACATTGATCATAATGGAAAAAGTGTTCACAACGCCCTAAGACACAAAAAAAATAATGGGAGATTACTAAACAAATAGGTATCCAAGTGGAAACATTAAGGAAAAAAAGTCATGAGAAGCCTTATTAATAAATGAAGCCTATTTATTACTTCAAGTGTTAATGGTAAAAAAAATTCAGCACAGCTGTTGCATTTAAAAAAGTGAAACTACATTAAGTACTATGTTTCTAGTTCAGTAAACAGATGAACCTGATGTCCTTTAATGACATATAGTTGAGCATTATACAGTACATCTTATGAAGACCCGTAAATTAAAGAACTACTTTAGTGATTAGAAAAATTCTGCATTCACAGCTTTAGCTTCTTTTTTCTTCCACGACCATCAGGGGTGCCATCCATTTTGCGCTTCTGTGCCTGTAAGGTAAGTTTTTTTAGTAAGTTACTGTGATGCAAAAAAGATTGTAAGCAAGCAAGCAATGCATTTCAAGTCAAAGCAGATGGAGACGATTTACACCCTGGCAGCTTTAAATTGTGAACAATTGCAAATGTTGCAATATGGCAAATAAGCACATCCTCCTCGGGATAGCTGTTGGTTTGTATTCTTCCAGTTTTGGATGAGTATGTACGATGTCATAGAGGTAAAAAGACTAGAAACAAATAAGAATATTATAAAGCTTCCTGTTTATGAAATGGTATTTCTAAATACCATTCTTTACTGGCTTCTGCACATCTGCAAATTAAGTTGTGTGTCTATGTTTTCAATACAACAGCTTTAGGCAACAACTACTCAAACAACGAATCTAGGCAACAAAATGGGTAAAGTTGGTATTGCCTTTACAAAAGAGGCCTGTGTATTTAGAAGCCAGTTTCATGAGCAACCCCCCATACGAGGGAAGTGATGGCAGACAGCAGAGCCTACACAGGAACACTTCTCCACGGAGCTGTAGCATTCTGAGTGGAATGAACAGTCGGCATTCCCTACGTACCCCTCAGTCATAACCTTATCATTTCTTAAGGGATAAAAATTAATCAAAAAGCCAAATAAATCTTTGGTTTATTTTACCAGGGTAAACCTATATTGGATACCAACTCAGTGATCCAAAACATAACAAGTGTCTCTGCTCCAAAGCATGTGTGAGCTGCAGTTTAGAACCTCAATTTATTTTCCTCTATCCACAACCGTACTAGCTGAATGACAGCAGGAACTTTAAGCAGCTCTTATCATTGCCCTAGAAGGTTGTGGTGTTGTTATTTTTAAATTACTTTAGTTGCCGCCTTTCCTAGTCAATGAGAAAAGGACCCTGTCTTCAAATGCCTTTTTTAATCTTACCGAAGATGGTTTTGGTCCACGTTTCTTCTTTTCTGCCTTTTCCTTTTCTTCCAGTTCCATGTTTTCTCTTTCAATCAGGGTGATTAAAGTATTGCATCTCCTTTGCAGCTCCTAAATTGTACAACACAGTCACTCACCACATTAAGCAGTGACTTAATGTAAAGATCCTATTATAGTATTAGAAATGTCTGTAGGTAGTACCTTGGCAGAGCGAATAAAGAGTATTTATTGATTAGCTACTGTCTGGTAGGAATGGATTTGATTGCAGATGTTCGCTTTTTAAAACACGTTTGTATTTAACTCAAATTCAGGTTGATTTTTGAAAACTAGTATCTTGGAATTTTGAATTTCTCCTCCAATTAAGACCTGTTACGTTTACTGCATTTGCCATCCGGTACAGTTTTTGGAAAGTCTATACAAATTTACTATACTGTGCACATGCACATACCTCAGTATTTCAGAAGCTATTTGACTGTGTTGTTATGAACAAAAAGCAAACCAGATTAATAGACGTACCATTGCAGTTCTGGACTTGAGAAACCAGTCAAATCTGAATTGCGGGGAGTTTCGGATACACTGTCTTAATTCATCATAGACATTTTCTTTATCAAATCCTAGCTTGTGAAGCATACAGATTAAAAAGCGGTCCTCCTCTTCAGTGTAATTCTTCCCTTTATTAGTACCATATGATATTCTCAGCTGGTGGAAAGGGGCTTTATATCTGCCAATCTAAACAAAACAAATAAGATCATATAAAACGAAGAAATAGTTCAGAATTAGCATGGAACAGTTTTATAGGAAAGAAATACATGAAGACAGGCAGATGAACAATACCAAATTAGAAAACTAGATCTTTTCTAATCTCTGGTGCTGTCACCACATGTAAGGAACTGTGGGTTCTAAATACATCTCAACTGGTAAATTCTGGTTTAGACAACAGACAGCTTTGTGATCTTTTGATCTATGGCAGACTGCAAACCTGTCACTACATATGAAATCAGTCAAAATCTGCCAGGCTTCAGATGGCAGCGATCCTTTTAAACATACAAATCCTCAGGAGGGGTCAAAATCAGAGTAAAAGGGGTACATGAGACTGTAGCATACAGTTCAGCTGCATTCTGGTTAATTTGAGTCAGACCCTGTTCCTTCCCTGACTTCCTAGAAGAGATAACTAACTAGTCAAACCTGAAGTGTGTGTGTGAAGTTCTGATACAGTCTTAAATTACTAAAAATCTCTTAATTACCAAACCCTGGTTGGTGAAACAGATCAGAACAAAAGCCTCCTCTGCTTGGTAAGTCATCCCTTTATAAGTGCTCTAAACGTACATACATACATATATACATACATATATATATATATGATTTTCAGTTACATGAGTCCAAAATAAATTCTGCTTCTTCAAAAAGCATGTAGTTACTGGGAGTTTGTTATATGGCACTATCAACTGTTTGTCCTATGATAAAGATGATTGTTACAAACAGGAGGTTGGTCCATACCTGAAGTTATCATCACAGCTATCAGCCAGGACAGCACTACTATAGAATGGAAAAGCTAGAGGAAGCAACTGCTGAGGAACATGCCAAAAGAGGCAAGTACAATACCCAACAGGTTGTCTTCAAACATTAGTCACAGTGGCTAGACACACAGTCCTCCATCTCACCTCACTGGCCCAGAGAAATAAAGGAAGCAAGAAACACAGCAAAGATACCTTTGTATCAAGTGCTTTTTTTATGCTGATTCGTCTCTGAATTCTGGCTTCTCCTCTTTCTATCTGAGCCATTATCTTCTCTATGTCTTGGAGTTCATTGCATCTTTCCCAGAACACAGCTAAGAACAGAACAATTGGTTAGTTTCTTATCATGCATCTTAAAAAAAGAAGTTAGGGCGTTTTACCT